GTGCACGGGCAGGCGCGAGTGTGCAGAAGCAGAGAGGGGTGTGCCCACGGGTGTGCGCGCAGGCACGCAGGGGTGCGAGCGCAGGCACGGAGGGGTGTGCGCAAGCATCGAGGGGTGTGCACGGGCACGGAGGAGTGTGCACAGGCACGGAGGAGCGTGCACAAGCATCGAGGGGTGTGCACGGGCACGGAGGAGTGTGCACAGGCACGGAGGAGCGTGCACAAGCATCGAGGGGTGTGCACGGGCACGGAGGAGTGTGCACAGGCACGGAGGAGCGTGCACAAGCATCGAGGGGTGTGCACAGGCACGGAGGAGCGTGCACAAGCATCGAGGGGTGTGCACAGGCACAGCCAGGTGAGCAGACGGAGGCGTGAGCCCAGGCGCAGGGGTGTGCACACACGCAGACGCCTGCCCGGATGCATGCCCACGCACCGCTACGTGCACACGCGCGCAGAGGGGTGCGCACAGGCGTGTGCCCGCGCAGGGGTTCATGCCCGCGTGCCCACGTTCAAGCACGTGCTCAGGTACACGCCCCTGTGCTCACCTTGTGCAGGGTGAGAAGCGAGCAGCTACAGCAGCCACAGACCTCGCACACGCGTGTGTGCACATAACATGCTCGCCTGTGTCCCACAGGCAGGGCCTGACCCCACACCTCCTTTAGGCTCCCAAAGTGGGCTGTTAACTCTCAAACCTACCGATGCACAGCACCACCGGTGAGAGCACGGCTCAGGAAGCCGCGAACTTCGTCCCCCTCCATCGGCTCCACACACCCAAGGCAGGGATTGATATTCACGGGCCCCGGCGCTTTCCCCAGCCAACCAGCGGCCCTATTGATTTTTATTTAGGCGAATAATTAAATATTTATTTTCACTTTGTTAAGCTCGGGAGGTCGGAGCCCACAGAAAGCGCAACAGCACGCGGGCAGCAGGAAAATCAATGCCTTGGTTTGCGGCCGCTGGAAGCAGCTCCTGCGCCCGCACCCTGGGTAGGTGTCACCGTCCCCCTCCCCAGCTCACCCCGACCCCCCTGGTGTCACTTACCCCTGGCAGCGTCTTCTGCTCGTGCAGGGCGCTCTGCGCCTTCAGGGCCGAGTCGCGGGCGCAGTAGGTGAGGAAGGCACAGCCTGCGGAGACGGGGAGATGGGGTCAGTGTCTGGCCCGGCACCACCGCAAAGCCCCAGGCACACAGAGAGCTGGCGGTGCGGCTAATATGGTGCTGGGGTGTCACCCAGCAGCCCAGCACCCCAGCACACTGGCACCCAGCACCCCGGCATCCTGGTACCGTGGCATCCAGCACCCCAGCACCCTGCCATCCTGGCACGCAGCACTCTGGCACCCTGGCATCCAGCACACCAGCACCCTGGCACACTGGCATCCAGCATCCTGGTGCGCACCACCGCCAGCGGGGTCAGAGCTCAGCCCTGAAACAGGGTGGGAGATCTCAATACAGAAGAGATGGAGCACCAGGATGAAGGAAGGAGGAAGGCAAGAGCAGGCAGCGAGTCTGGCAGCACACAGGCAGTGGCGCTCCGGCCCCAGGCTCCAGGGAAAGCCGCAGCCAAAGCCCTCCGGGAAGCGGATCTCCAGGCGTCAAGGCCGCTCATCCCGGCTTGCCGCCACACTTCTCCTGGTCCGGAGCATCCTCCTCGCGATGAACCTCGCGTGGCGAAGGCACTCCGGCTCCTCCGACATCGCGGCGCTTCGGGAATCGGGAATACGCCTGGGGCGAGGTTTTCCCACGCTGACTCACGCTGCCGAGCCACTCGAGCGCCCGGAGCTGGCAGTGACAAGCAAGCCCCGGGGACGGGGTCTGGTCCTCTCCCCTCCGTCCCTCCCGTTCCTGCGGGAGCATCCCGGGTCCCTGTGCCGCCGCCACGCCGCTCCCTCCCCAAGGGCTCCCCCCCAATTTGCTGGGGTCACATCCAAAAGCGTCTGAAAGTGACATTAAAACAGCAGCAAAACAGTTTCCCTTCAACAAAGTAAATATTTAATGAATAAAATTGACATTGATGCATTTTTAATATTGGCACAATTAAATCCGCCAGCTGATTAAGTATTAATAACTCTTAATAAGTACAATCAGCGTGCCTGGGAGGAGAGGGAGCGCGGCAGCAGGGCGGGGGGATGCCAAGGGATGGGGTCCCTCGCTTGCCTCAGGGTGTTGGGGACATCTGCCCTCGCAGGGAGCAAGGAGAGATCACCCCCGGTTAAATATTATCCCACTGCGGGTGGAAAGGGGAGGTCAGCACAGTGGCTCGCGTCAGTCCCGGTGCCATTTCCAGTGTTTACCATCTGTAATCATGTTGGCTTCCTCCTCCCCGCTCTTTTTTACCCCTTTTTTTCCCCCTTTTCCCCTGCAGGAAACAATGTGGATGGTGGCCAGGCATTCCAGAGAAGTTCGGAGGGCTGGAGAGGGAGCAATCCTGCTCCGGAGGCTTGCCAGGAGGAAAGATGCCGTTCAAATTAGAGGAGCGTCCGCAATTAAATGGCGCGTCTGGGCCGCAGCAGTTGAAGCCCGCGCTGGAGGAAGCGCCGAGGGGGCTCAGCAAGGTGCAAATCCCATTGTTCAGGGAACACAAGCAGCTTCAGAGGCGCCTGGAGACATTTCGGAGGCCACGGTGCTGAGAACGATGGAGTCCAGGCAGCTGCCCCATGGCCAAAGGGCACCGATGCAGCCGCATCCACAAGCGCCTAGTTTCGGCTTCCCGGAAAGTCCTGGCAAAGCAGGCGCTGCCTGTGGCACAGAGGCTCGGCAACAGTGTGTAGAGGAGCATTGAGATCCCATCTGGGTGACACCCAGAGTGCCCTGACCCTGCTCCGGCGGCACCAACCCCCAGCTCACGGGTGGGAGGTTCCATAAAGACCTTGGTGGTGCACGCGTGAGCCCCTCAGCATGCCGCTGTTGGGGGTGCCAGGTGCTCTGCACCCCGTGCCGGGATGCCAGCCAGGCCAGCAGTGATCCCAGTCCCGCAGGTCACAGAGGCCTAGGACACGGCACAGGCAGGGGGCCAGGCAGGTGGGTGCCCCCATCTGCGGTGGGTGCCTGTATCCCAGGTGGGTGCCTCCATCCCAGGGGTGCTCCAACTCCAGGGGTACCCAAAACTCAGGTGGGTGCCCTGATGCCAAACAGGTGCCCCCAACCCAGGCAGGTGCCCTAAACACTATTGGGGTGCTCCCAGCCCTGGGATGCTCTGACCCCAGGGGTGTCCCCAAGCCAGATGGCAGCTCCCAACCCCAGATAGACACCCTAACGCCATGTGGGTGCCCGCACCCCAGGCAGGTGTCCCCATCCCAGGGGTACCTCCACCTTAGACTGGTGCCTCTGCCTCAGGGGTACCCCAATCTTAAGGGGGCCACATACCCGGATGCCCCATACTGGGGTATCTTCGCCTCAGGGGTGGTGCCCCCACCTCAGGGGTGCCCCACACTGGAGGGACCATACCAGGGTGCCTCCACCTCAGGGATACCTTCACATCAGAGGTGCTCCATATTGGGGTGCCCCATATGAGGGTACCTCCACCTCAGGAGTACCCCGTACCAGGGTGCCCCACCTCAGGCATACCTCCCCCTCAGGGTGCTCCCCCTCAAGGGTGCCCCCATCTCAGGGGTACTTTCACCTCAGGGGTATCCCCACCTTATGGGTACCTCCAGATCAAGGGTACATCCACCTCAGGGGTATCTCAGCTCAGAGGTGCCCGATACTTGGGTGCCCCACCTCAGAGGTGACCCACCTCAGGGGTACCTCCATCTCAGGGCTACCTCACCTCAGGGGTACCCCCACCTCAAAGGTGCCCCATACCAGGGTATGCCCACCTCAGGGGCACCTCCAGATCACGGGTGCCCCATCTCAGAGCATCCCACCTGAGGGCTACCCCTACCTCGGGGCGCTCCACCTCAGAGCGTCCCACCTCAGGGGTGCCTTCACCTCAGGGGTGCCTTCACCTCAGGGGTGCCCCATACTTGGGTTTCCCACCTCAGGGTCTTCCACCTCAGGGGTACCCCTACCTCAGGGCGCTCCACCTCAGGGTGTCCCACCTCAGGGGTGCCTTCACCTCAGGGGTGCCTTCACCTCAGGGGTGCCCCATACTTGGGTTTCCCACCTCAGGGTCTTCCACCTCAGGGGTACCCCTACCTCAGGGCGTCCCACCTCAGGGGTGCCTTCACCTCAGGGGTGCCCAACCTCAGGGTGTCCCACCTCAGGGGTGCCTTCACCTCAGGGGTGCCCCACACCCGGGTGCCCCACCTCAGGGCGTCCCACCTCAGGACGCCCCAACCTGGTCGTGCGCCGCCGGC